TTAATCTCTCTCTCCCGATCGACCGATCGATCGATCAATCTTATCCGTTCTTTCTTTTTTCTCGCTCTCTTTCTCCCTCTTTCTTTCGCTCGCTCTCTCAGATTTTTCGATCGACCCTTCTCTCTCTCTCTCTCTCTCTGTGCGAGTCTCTCGCTCGCTCTCTCAGCTGTTTTCTCTCTCTTTCTTCCTATCTATTATTTATTCTCTCTTTCTCTCGCGCAGAAGCTCTCTATATCGAGGACAACAGGAGATCTGCGTGAGATACGATCGTGTTTCGCGACTCTCTCCACTTCGTTCGGGGGTTTTTTCTGCTCTCTCTCTCTCGTTTCGGTTACTCGGTTTCCCCCTGTCGAATCCGACAACAACGGCCGGATAGTCCGGCTTGGCGGACTCACCGGCTCTTGTATGTGCAGTTCGTTTGCTCGTCGACGACTTTCGCAGTTGTTTTCGAGCGCGTCCACCCCTTCAACATCGCGCGCGCCTTGCATCCAGAGTCGCTGCCAATGCGGTCGCTGGTTACTCCTCGCTCAACGTGAGCCGACCGCTTCGATAGCGTAAATTTACGCGTTTTCGGCATGACGTTTCTCGGGGCGACTCCGCATTGGCGAGCGACTCCGGCGCGTCTGTCTTTCCCTCTTCTCGCTTCGGGCGCGTCGGCGAAGATATTCGAGGCAAAAAGAACCTGGCAACGAACCCTCCGTCCTCGGCGTGGCTAAGCGAATTTAATCGCGGTTCTATTAGCAAAGGACACCCGAAGGCAAATTCGTCGTCCGACCGTTCGCGTCCTCTAAAGAGACCCGCGCGCGCGATTTCTCTCTCTCTCGCGCGACCCGTAAACTTGTGCGCGGCGTGGTTAATCGACGAGTCGCGAAAAAAGGCGACCGGCTTTCAGGCTTTAATTGAGCCATTAAAGTCGCAGTAAAGAGGGCCCGCCCGATCAAACGGCGGCCATTATCGAGCCGGAAAAAAATCCGAAGGAGTAATCACTGGCCGTGATTCAAGAATATAATCCTATTACGGCCGAAGAGCGATATAATGACGACGGAAGAAGACGCTATATCTCCTCTCGGAAGCAATCTCTTTCGTCGTTCTCTCGCGAGGATCGCTCTCGGTGCGCCGGCGGAAAAACGACGACGAATCGGCCCCTCTCGCGTCGACACGGCGCCCCAAAAATTCGCGGAACGTGTGATTTTAATCGCAATAGAGGAAGCACGGGTAATATGGAATATTACGATTCCTAGCCTGTTAAGTGTCGCAACACAGCGAATAACGGTGGAATTATTAGCCGCTGGACTCCTGATCGAATACTACAATGCGGCAACCTAATACAGTGCCGTTCATTAAAGCTGTTCCATTCCCTAGGAATAGTAATGTCGGAAATTTCGAATTAGGTGTACAGGGTGTTGCATCAACATACGACCCATTATACGACGGGTTGCCTGCCCAAAGGCGCGTCCAGATGGCAATTTCGGATTTGTCGATATAGTCACCCGCATACCTTCCTTTTTAATTACGATAATTAGGATGATAATTAGGAACGCTATAACTTCGTTCGAAAGGTATGACTATATCGACAAATCTAAAATTAACGGACGCGCGCGCCTTTGAGCAGGCAACCCGTCGTAATGGGCCGTATATTGATGCAACACCCTGTACATTTCTGAATATTCGTGTATCATGACTGTTGATTGTTCTGTGAGCCGGCAAGGATACTCCAATGCAGCAATCATGATGCACGGAATATTCAGAAATGATGAGCCTAATTCGAGATTTCCGACATCACTATGGCTAGGGAATGAGACAGCATTAATGCACGGCACTGTACGAGATCATGTGTACATAATTAACCATGTATCGCCAAAGTTGCAAGTACACGTTGGAATAAAAGCCTTATGTAATTACATGGGATATTTCGAGATACGTTAGCGATATTTCGCGATTATAATTAGCGATATTTCGAAGTATCACAAACAAGGTAAGTATTTCCAAATTTGGAAATACAAATTTGGAAGTAAATATTTCGTGATACCTCCTAATTCGAAGTATATACTTCGAAATATCTCACGTAATTATATAAGACTTTTATTTCAATGTGCACCTCTAACTTTGGCGATACATGGTTAACAACGTAGTGCGTGTGTACCTCCAAGTTTAGGTTTTCTATATCTCGTCACTTTCATCAAGTAACTTTTTAAACTTTTATTTAATAACCAATCTATGTCACAAATTCTTAATTACCCTTTGTTAAATGTAAAACTAAGATATAACTTTAACATAGTCTATTTTGTAAATGTTATATGGTGTACATTTCTATTATGTACAATAAAAATATAAAAATGGCGATATCGAGTATTAAATAATCCTTATTACCTGTCACTTTTCAATATTGCATGTTATATTCTATTATTTTTTCTTTCAAAATACCAAAGAAGTATGTAACTAACGTCGTTAAAAAACATAAACAATGGAAAGAAACTAATATTACATACATTTATGTCGATTCATGACATTATAATATTATTATAATATAACAGAAAGTATAAAAATATAAATTTATAATAGATTATAATATAATAAATACACAATATAATAATTACTATAGACTATTCGATCACACATTAATATTCATTGAAATATCATTTGTTTAAGTTACCTTTTTACAAGATAAACAAGGCATTCCGTTTTACCGGACGTATTTCATATCACTCTTCCAAAATCTATCTTCGAAAAAAATTGATATAACATTAAACTTACTATAGATAAGCAAAATCTATTAGAAATACGTAAAAAAAGAAAAAAAAAACGGCATTACAACTTAGCGAAAACTAATTTCATTTATCTTTAGTAGTTTTCGATTTATCTCAAGAAGAACCTTAGGATACTCCATAATATCCATACTTCCTCTAATTTCGAATCCACGAAATGGCTGGGCGATTTTCGAGTCTCGTTAATATCGAGCGCGACGGAGGGATTTCGAGGGACCGCGCGCGCGACCGTCGCATAAACGATGCGACGGCGCAAGATCGGCGCGCGACCCGGCAGCTCCAGCCCACCGTGAGAAGATAACTAATCGAGTTGTTCAATTAGGCTAAACCGTTGTTGTTCGGTATCAGCGTCGACGCAGCAGATGCTGCGGTCATCGCGCGGTCAGCCATGGAGCTGCGAAAGCTGCGCTCGCTATGATCAAAGCCGACAGCGGGCCGCTATATCACGGACGACGAGACCCGTCTAGACTCTCGCGACCGGCAAAATTACATCACATGAACTACCATTTTTTTTTTAGCTGCAATCGTTCGACAATTCCGCAAACGAGCGTGAGCGCGTCGTCTCTGTGACAAATATTTGCGCACGAAGGGAAGAATAAAAAAAAAAAAAAAAAAAAAAANCAATTTCAAATTGCTCGAATATCAATTACGAAATCGTATTTCGGACACTTTACTTCACACGATGTGTAATCCTCTCGTGATATTCGCGTTTATTCGCGTTGCATAGCCGGAAGGATTTCCCCGGCAACGGTGGGACGAATAAGCAACTAAGCGAATATACCACTCGGACACTGCCGTTGCCATGTTCGATTGCCTCGTTCATCCTCGATCGATTCGACGGAGCTCGTCAACCTCGTGTGCAAATGTCGACCGAGACACGGTTACTTGTCGTCGTCGACGAGACAACAACTACACGACGTCGCGCAAGATAATAGCCGAGAGCTCGAGATTACGTTCATCAAGCGAACTTAATTCCGTTACGATCGTCCCCCGTGCAAGAGCACGAGCAGCGAATTAAGGTCGTGTCGCGAGAGAACTGCGCGAAAAGGAGAGACAGACAGACAGACAGGAGCACACGGAAAGAAAGAAAGAACGAGAGAGGAAGAAAAGAAAAGCAGCGAGTGCGTACGTGAGCGAAGTGACTCGCGGATCGCTCGTTAATCGAGAGACGGGCGACTTTCTCTTTCTCTCTCTCTCTCTCTCTCTTCCCCTCTTTCTCGGTCTCCGTCTATCTTTCTGCCTATAACGCACTGATTTTCACCGACGCGGAACGAAGCCGACCGGCCAATCGGGGAACGGAATTTGTGGATCACTCGAGGCCCTCGAGCGGATCGAGACTCGCCAATCGGCTCGCGGCACTCGTGGATCCACGAGTGGCCATCAGTCAGATTGATCCAGGCCACGAGAGAAATCTCTTTCTCTCCAGTCCCTGAGGCCCTCCCTCCCTCCCTCCCGCTCTCATAACCCTCTCTCTCTCTCTCTCTCTACTCATGCGATCTCGAGCTCGCGGGATTACTCCGCGTTTCGTTAATTATCGCGACACAATCGAGCCGTTCCTCTCTCTCATTGTCCTTCTCTCGCACACAGGTGAAAAGCTCCGTCGCGGCTGTCGATAGCCCGCGATTCATCGCCAGCCTCCGACGACCCGATCGCCGCTCGCGATTAAATCTAGTCTCTTAGATCTACCGGCCTTGGCGCGCGCGCGCGCGTCCATCTTCGTCGCGACTAACGTCCGTCCGTCTGCGAAAGAGCAGAACACAATTAATAATCGCGCGATAATTGATTATCACGCGAATACGGCATTAATATCGCCAACGACAACGGCTGTCCTGACGTATCGTTCATCGCGACGTCTTCATTTTTCAACGAACCCGCGAGCAATCGAGATGGACACGCGCGGACGGGGGCCCGACTTACGCTATCGGCGACCGGCAATCCGCTCGGGAGAAATCAACTAAGTTCAAAGACGAATCGTCACGATCGTCCCCGTCGTGATCGAATCCGAGCCTCGGATCGCGGTCGCCGGCTTCAAGCGGTGCGCCGAGAACGAGAGAACGCGATTTCTCTCCCTCCCTCCTTCTCGTCGCACCGCTTTCCTGAAAAACGCTCACCACGCGGGGTTGCCCGCGTGGTTGTTCTCTTGCGAGACACGTCAATACGCAATGGATTAATTATAATGGCGATGTTTATAATATGTCTGTTTATATATATAAGTATAAGAAAATTCATGCACACCTCAATTTTGCGTCCCTCAACCACGGTGCCGTGTAGCCGCTCACGTGCCCGGTCCGCGTCTGCACTATTTGCGAACGTTACAAAACCGAACCCCTGCATGCAAGGACAGACAAAACAACATGCATTAAACTCAACTTACATACTGCCAGCGCTCCGCAAAAAGCCGACTGGCTGGGCCGACATTTCGTGCGCATAATTAATAAATATATAAACGCGCGTGTTTCTACGTAATACAATATATAAATATGTATACATATAATTGTATATGTACATTCTATATATAGGGGGATGGTGAGGGGGGGGGAGGGGGAGATATGTTCTCGGAGGGAATAATAATAATAAATCGTTGTGGCGTGCTGCGTCTTGGGGAGGCTCGCGGAGAACGCGGCAGCCTCCCTTCGTCGTGCGCGCGTCGCGACGATTTCCGACCTCGTCCAGTTCGCGTCGTACAACCGAAAGCCGCGCGTTCCTGTCGATTCGATCGCGTGTTATCGCATGATTCGTATATATATACATATACATATATATATATATATATATATGTGAATCGGGACCGCTCCGTCTTCGCGAGAAAACGATTCTCCGGACACCACCTGCTCGCGGCTTGGAATTACGCGAGGAAGGCCACTTCCTCTTTAACTTCACTTCACTCGACATCCTTTAATAACTTCCTTAACGTTACTCCGTAAAAGCGGCCGAAGAGCCGCGGATCCGAATTCAACTCTCGATAACAGTCGCGTATTATCCGTGGTTCCAGCGGATTCTCGAGACGAGTATCGAACGGTGATCGGTCTCTATCGAGTCGGAGGGAGAAGGAGAGAGGGAGCAGAGGCGGAAGAAACAGTGAGAGAAGCTCGACTCTTCCGCTCTGCCGCGGGCGACTCGGGCTCTCTTTTGTGCTCTTCCCTCGCTCCCACCCGCTTTTCTCCTCTCGATCCGTCTCTTTTTCTCTCAACCCTTCCGTCATCCTCGCAGCTCAACTCCCTCCTCCCGTTCCCCCTCCCCGCGAACCCGGCTCCTATTTACTTCTTTGACGCACAATGGCCGTCTGGACCGGCCGTTATGTATCGCGAGAGACGCGCTAATTAATTCCCGAGGCTCCCCCGAAACGGAGCGAGTTTCGTGGATTTCCCCGTCCTTCGGATCCTCTCTTCCCGATTCTCGATCGCGAGAATTCCTCTTTTATTTCATTCTCGCGAATGCAATCGATGTCTCGTTATCGGAATAATCGACTCGCACTGCCCGCGGGCGCTTCGTTACTCCGACGGATTCGATGATGCCCCCCGGCGCGAAAGTAGACCTGGATTACGCTGAATACCGCCGAGAAGTCAAAAGAGAATCGCGAGCGGAATTAAGAGGGCCGATTAATGACTCTAATGACGCCGTCGATTGTCGCGCGAAAGTACCTGGCAGCGCAAGTTTCATCGCGGCTCGTAACGGCGTATAAAACGTTAGTGTCGTGGGAAACTTGTTTAACTCGGCCGAGAGGAGTCCTCTCGAGTCGAGCGGACGATCTTCACAGAACCGACGGCTGATCTTCCGCGAAAGTTCTCGCGGAAAAAGGGAAGTAACGAAGAAAAGAGGGGGAAAGAAATATCGCAGTTGGCGTAATTCACGGTGAAATATTTTATCGCGGTCTGAATTTCATTCCCCTACGTCGGATCGAGGATTCGGAAGGGTTGAGAGAATCGTCGCTTCCGGAGCGTCGAAGGGGGAGAATCGGTGACGGAGACGGTTAGCGCGACGCGTTCCTCGTTAATTTCTATTTTCTTCCATTTCACTCGGGGATGGTGTACGAAGAGGGGCACTTTCCCGAAATGTCGACGACCAGGGGGTCTCATACTGCTTACGGAGACGCACCAAACAACGTGCAACAAATAAGTAAATATAAAATCATAGTCAGAAATTATGGTCATGGTCACATTAATCATCTCATTATCATATCATATCGTGTCATGTCATCACGATCATCGTCATATTGAAAGACTCTTGCTGGTATCGGGAGGTGCGTGTACGAGAAAACAAGGAATCGAATAGAAAAGAAATATACAGATATATCTATCGGAAGGAAGTGGTTGGACGCATGAGGCGTGGAAAGGAAAAGCGTGATAGGGACGGAGGTGAAAATAGCACGTGTGTGTGTGTGTGCGTTAGGTGTCCGTCCATGTGCGTGTGGTGCGCGTATGAATTTTCCGCCGTCGACGGCGAGCACGGGGAAGCGGAAGAAGAGCGGCGAACGGGGGAAATTGAGCGGGAGACGCAAAAAGATTAGAATCGCGGGAGTGTCATCGAGAAGCGAATGGAGTACGCTCGAAGGAGCGCATCGCGACGCGATATCGCGTATAAATGGACCAGACAGAGAGAGAGAGAGAGGGGGGGAGAGGGAGAGATCGACTTCCTCATGGGATCAATACAGCGCGTTTCACTACGCACCGTCCGCTATCGGTTTTCCCATCTCGCGTCGAGAGGATGCGAGAGAACGCCGTTTTCCGCGTAGGAAGAGCGCGAACGGGATCGATTGTGCCCTCATGTGCTTCCCCGAACAAGGTTAACCCTCCCCCCCTCGAGCGAGCTCGGGCGCAGTCAAGTTTCCTCAGGGAACGTGCATATATTACACCGTGCAGCAGAGAGCACCATGAGGCAGAGATATCGCGCCGACCGAGTGCTCCGTTGTCGCGCGTTATCGCGCCGCAAGTTCTCGCAAGGTCGCGCGTTCTCCGCGGGCCGTGAAGACGCGCCGCCCCCCGCCGAGGTTGACGCAGATTGTCGTCGTTTCCGTCCCGTCGTTAACGTCCGCTCTCTTCGCGAGATTCGAGAGGGAGAGAGAGTTCTCCTATCCGATGAGAGTGCACGTTATCGCGGAGTCGAACGACAGTTCCGCCGTGGAATTTCGAGAAGAAGCTCGAATTGTACGAGAACCGAGAGCATCCGGGGGAGACGTGTTCTGGTGGAAGGGGCCGAGTTCCCGTCAAACAGCCACCGGATTCGATCAAAGCGAGCAGATATCCCGCGACATCTGGCAGTGCAAACACGTGGAGATGCGGAAATGGCCTTTGGCTCCTATGCGAGAGTACGCGCTTTTAGCAACGCGGACACGTATGCTAGGCAGATACGTGAGCGGTCGGGAAAGTGTCCGCAAGGAATGATCGTGAGCGATCGCGTTGTCGCGGAGTGAAGATTCCCGACCACGGCTATCCGGGAAAACTAGACGTTGCCGGGAGACAACCGACTCCGTCGGCTCCGCCAAATGCGAATTCGCTGTTCCTCCAGATATTGTGAACATGATCATCGCGACCGATCTTGGAACACAGTCAACGTCTCCTGGGTTATTACGGTAGCGGAGGAAATGCGGGTAACATGGAGTAGTCGAGTAATATGGAATAGCACGATTTCTAGCATGTAAATGTCACAACATAGCGGATACCAGTGGAACTATCAGCCACTGGACTCCAGTCTAGTACGAGGTCGTGCGCAATTTGCACGTCCAATTCTCGATTCCCTGTGTTTCGTTGTTTTTATCAGGTGAGTTTTTACAAACTTTTATTGAACGATCTATTTCACAGATCCTTAATTGCCTTTCGTCAAATGTAAGACTTAAGACGTAGCTTTAATGTAGTCTATTCTGCACGTGTCATATGATATTTCTATTACCCGTCGTTTTTTAGTAAGTATTGCATAGTAGAAATGAAATTTAATTGTTCCTTCCTTTCAGGATGAAAGAAGGATCGAAGAAGCACGTAATCGACGTAGTAACATTATTATAACAGAAAGTTGAAAAATATAAATGTAATTTTCGATCATTAATATTTAACGAAATATGGGACAAGTTACACTTTTGCAAGATAATTGAGGCACTCCGTTTTACCCGACCTATTCCATATTACCTTGCCAAAATTTACTCCAAAAATTTGATATAGTATTAAACTGACAATAGATAGGCGAAATCCGTTAAGAACGTTATAAAAGACACTTAGCATTACGACTCAGTGAAAACTAATTTCAATTATCTTTAATTGTTCCCGACTTCTCTTAAAAGCCAAAAACTCCAAGGTATTTCATATTACCCGTACCTCCTCTAACACACGGTAATTACTGTGCAGAAGCGATTAGATTTCGCGAGAATCAGCGCCTGGTGTTTGCGGAGAGAGTAAAAGAAATCGCTAAAGGATCGTGCGAGTTTCGCGATGAATTCCGTAATCGCAGGTGCTTTTATCGTTAAAGGAATTAATGAAAGTTTGTAGCGAAGCAAACCGACGAGACGGCGGCGGCTGCTGCGTCGACGGGATGAAAAAGGACGCGAGGATAATCGAGTTCCTTCGTCGCGCCATCCGTTTTCGCACTTTCCCCCTCTCGCTCTCTCTCTCCTCCTTTCTATCCATCTCTTTCTCTTCAGCAACTACCTGGTTGCTGCCAAAAACAGTTACCAGTCGCGGCTGTTGCCACGAGAGAAATCGCATTAGGGCCAAATCAAATACAGCCTCGCCAAACGCCGTCGACGAAGAACGGAAACGGCAGCGACGTTGGCGGAGGGTTCCACCGAAGCGTCAAGTTTCCTAATCAATGACGTAACCGTAGGATACCGGTTTTCGTTCCCTTCCTCTGCGAACGCGCCGCGGATGAAACGCGATTTACGTGCCGGACGTGAGAAAACTGTAGGTTTCCTGTGTGCGCGCGCGTTGCTCTCTCGGGTCGCTTGAAAATTCCGCCTCCGTCAATTCGGTCTCCTCCCCTTCCTGAGCGCCTCTCGTGATCGTAATGGTCGATAATTGACGCTCGCTATTTAACGATATCATGATACACGATATCGCGAACAAGGAACCAACGAGCTCCACTTCGCGAAAATCTCCAGAAGACGCGGGGAATAATCTCCGAGAGATTCCTCATATTCGAAAGTCGGTGTGGTAACTATTAAGGCCGATTTCCACTATACGGTCAGGTCACGGCCAAGTCGCGGTTATGGATTTTTTACGTCATTTACATTCTTCGATCATGTAACGATGTTCCGTCGGTCAGTCTCGCAGTACCATCCGTGACAAATACATTTTTTTCATGCCTCTCCAAGCCTTCGCTTATTGAAATCACTTTAATTTTGA